GGGGGGGGGAACCAGAAGCAGATTTCTAAGCAAGCTGAGAATTCAGCAGATATGTACACGAAAAACAAATTGTTAGTATAAGAACTAGCACGTGATCTTGCATAAGGTCCTTCTACGACTGCAAATAACGTATATAAAGCCGGAAAATTCTCTCTCTCTACATGTATTTAAAGGGAGGATGCATCACCATTCATTTAACAAAAAGTCAGTATGCTGTAGGAAAAGGAAATCCTGCCTGCATAAAAACAGATAACCCAAAAAAAGGAAACCTGGTGTAGGTAAATTATTTTGTAATTATATCTATCCTGGTTTAGACAAAATAGGATGGCGTATACTATGCAGATACCCAAGACCTCTTGACTGGAAACATCAACCTAGTAATCTAAGTACTGTAGAATAGATGGAAGCAGCAGAAAATAAGAGAAACAGAACAACAGCTTCATGTTTGGAAAAATGTCAATTTCCAAATTCATATTCAAATTTAAATTAAATTTATCACCTCGACAATGAACAGAGGTAATGTAAAAACCTAATGATTAAAACAGAGGCTTAGAAGTAAGATGTCCTCAATTCCCTTCAAGATTAGACAGCCGGACATGTCGGAGAAGTCGCTTCCCATTTCCGTCTTTTGAAGTCATTTGAAGAATGGGAATTCTGCTTAATAAATTGATGAATGGATGTGATTTTTTTTTAATGCATGACATCTCTGATGAAAGACGGTATCTGTGTGCCTAGAAGCACTATTACTTTCACACAAATTCACAGTGACTTTTAGAAAGTACAATTTCCCAGCTACGATAGCCCTGAGGCAACGTCACCCTCAACCTTGATAAGATGTGATGCGAGATGGCTGTTTCTAGTAACAACCTATAGTAGTGCAACCATGCAAATCTAATCAAACAGTTCAGGCCCTCTAAAAAAGCAAGCGAAACAAACTTTTTAAATAATGTAATTTTGGAGAACTAACATTGCTTTTGTTTCATTTTTGCACAGACAAAACAATTATTTTTAATGATAACTTTTTTTAAAAAAAGGAATGCTTTTAAAATATTAATCTAGCACATTTAAATAGAAGCAAACGTTTGTTCAGCAAAAAGGTACTATAAATCTCATTCTTAAAAAGAAAAAAAAAAAAAACAGCTTCTATAGCAAACATCCTCTTGGGTTGGATAATATGGTGAAGTGACTTAACTGCCTTTACTGTCTTCTGCATCTCTTCCCCTTCAGGAAGAGCTCTGTTACAGCTCTTGTAGGCCCTAACCTTTTTGTCTTTGTTTCTCTGCTCCCTTCTACTTCCTGCTGTTCCTTTCCTCCCTGAGCATCCAGAGAAGGGCTGATAAAGTGCCAGCACTCCTCAGTCAGTTCCCAGCCACCAGCTGCCCTCACACCATGGACAGGACACCTCTGAAGTCCTCGTGCTCCTTCCGCAGCTGCAGGACAACATGGAAAGCAAATGGGAAAGCTTGTACCAGCTGCTCTCAACTTTCAGTATTTCAGCCAAAAGAGGATGAAGGCAAGTGTCCTGGCGGACAACAAGTTAAGCATGAGCCGGCTATGTGCCCTTGTGGCCAAGACCAACGGTCTCCTGGGCTGCATTAAGCAGAACGTTGCCAGCAAGTCGAGGGAGGTGATCCTGCCCCTCTACTCAGCCCTGGTGAGGCCTCACCTGGAGAACTGTGTCCAGCTCTGGGCTCCCCAGTACAAGAGAGACATGGCAGTACTGGAGCTAGTCTAGCAAAGGGCCACTAAGATGACTAAGGGACTGGAGCATCTCTCATGTGAGGAAAGGCTGAGGGAGCAGGGCCTGTTCAGTCTCAAGCAGAGAAGACTTAGGGGAGAATCTTATCAACATGCAATGCATATAAATATCTGAAGGGAAGATGTCAATAGGATGGGGCCAGACTCTTCTCAGAGGTGGCCAGTGACAGAGGGGCAACAGGCACAAACCAAAACATAGAAGACCCATCTGAACACGAGGAAAAACTTCTTTCCTGTGAGGGTGACTGAGCACTGGCACAGGCTGCCCAGAGAGGCTGCGCAGTCTCCTTCCTTGGGGATATTCAAAAGCTGTCTGGACACAATCCTGGGCAACGTGCTCTAGAGGACCCTGCTGGAGCAGCGGGGTTGGACTAGAGGATCACCAGAGGTCCCTTCCAACCTCAACCATTCTGTGATTCTGTGGGCAACAGTCCATGTTTAAGGCAAGATACAACTCCTTTGAATAAGAGAATGGTTCAACACACAATCTTATGGCCTGTCCGGTGAAAATACAGGAACAGATCTTATTCATAGTAACTACGGAAAGTTATCCTAAACTAGTGTGGGGCAATACGCTTTAACATTTTTCATGTGTGAAAGTCTGCAGGCTTGGTAGTATCACAGGCTCAAGTTTTGAGACATGATTTTTCAAAAATCATAAAATAAAGCATAGATAAAAATCTATGCACATATCAAAATTAGACTGATTTCGTACCTGCCTAAATATGCATTTGGGAATCATCTACCAGTGGACTCCAAGTTGCAATTATTTTGCTACCATAAGGAGCCAGGTGTCCCTAGGCACAGGAAACAAGCTGTTCCGTAAGCAGTAGAATTAACTTAGCCTGACTTTGTACAGTAGAGATTTATTTCTTCTTCTCCTCTCAACACGTGCAGATCTACACAGGTCTCCCCTGTAGCCTGCTCATACTTCCCGTTACCCTTGGGTGCTCCCTCAGCTTATTCCCCCATTCTCTCAGGTCTTTATCCTGCCGCTATCCAAGGAAGAAAATGTAACTATAGCTGTTTCTGAGCTAAGCTTGTGCACTGACCAGCTGGCCTGGCGGATATAAGCAACAACCATTGACTTCTTACTGGAGACTATCATCTTTGAGAGGTACCAAATTAAGGTTTCTCATCTCTACCTGCCAATTTTCATAAAACTGTAGGAATCCAATTTTGGGACTCGTACTGTTCTGTCAAATGGCCAAACAGCAATTTTAATAGTACAGTCTTGTTTTGTTAGGAAATAAATCTTTTCAAATAGCTATAGAAAAGTATTAAAGGTCTCTAAATAGTTTCTAGTGACATTATGTTATGAAATAAAGCAAAATGAATATCTCATCTGGCATAAGGGGATCAGACTGCGAGTTCATGCCAAAGTCGCTTGTATGAGCATAGGAACTCATGAACATGAACTACCGCATCTCAAACATCACCTCTCAAGCAACGAAAGCAAATTCACTTTGCTAGGGTATGGGAGCGGACACCGTTTGTTCCAAGAACAAAAGACCACCTCTGCAAAAAGAGGTCTGAATCCTGCAACTGGAATGCAGTCATAGCCGTGGACAACGTGAAGGCCGTTTAATGAAAATAATTTTTAAGCAGAGCCTACAGAGCCTCGAACGTCCTTGTAAGCACAGAACATGGATCTTCAATCATGACTCTTATGTGCCAAACACGCATAGCACAGAAAAGGGGTAGTGGCTTAGTATTCCTGCCTTACGCTGAAGGCCTTGACCTGTTTCCGAAGTTTCCCTCGTGCCTGAAACAGCCGGTAGA